TTTTACTGATATAAATATATTTAGGAAAAATGCCATCATAAACATAAATTATTCATTTTGGCCTTAAAGGTAAATCTATGTTTTTGGTATTATTGCTCATTATAAAAGTTACAAATATAGTTATTTATATAACTTATTTTTATGCTAAAACATAGCATAAAGCTATAAATATCAACCACATGCTATAAGCTGTCTAGTACTCACCAGACATAGAAAATAGAGAATTTAGGTTCAAGTGCTAAGTTATCAGTCCTATTGGTGGAATAGGGTGAATATATATAATTCTTCCAAAGTATATGGGGATAAAGCATGATTATCCTAACCAGAGCGAAACTGTAGGACACCGTATGTGAAATTCTAGTTCCACATTTCCCAATAATTTATATTCACATTTTTGTCCTCAGTCCCTACAGTACCTGTCCCAATAAAACTACTACACTGTGCCCTTCCTATTTCCCTCTAGACTTTCACACTTTACATTTTGGCGCAGATGTCACATGCCTCAAGCTACTAACCTCATCTCCAGTCTCCCCTGGTCAATCTCATCTTCACTTTAATATCCTAACTACCTAATACATAAATCCTATGTGTCACTCCAATAATTAGAAAAATGTAAAGCCAACTCTACCACTGCCTGCTTCACTGACATCATAGCAGGAGTGGTATTAGATGGTACCCTGAGTGCAGGAGGATAGAACTGATGGCCTAGTCATCTGACTACACTTGAATTCTCTTGACAGATCTACCATACTCCTCTTTAGAGTTGGTATATGCATTTTTACTGGCGTTTTTCAAATTGGTGTTATATAAGGAATTATGATGTTAAGGTAATTATAAATCACTTAAATCTATGAAAATATGTGTTAAATATATCTTTAAAAAAGTAATGTGACCTAAATGTCAACAAAAGAAGGCTAGGTAAATGATGTGATCTCAAAACTGTCACTTTTTTATTTATTTAAGAATATAACCATATAGCACTGATTACATATGAGACACTGTACTAAGAACTTTTCATTTATTAACTTGTCCAATATATTTGTATTAAATGAATATTAAACTAATGTTTATTAGATCCTATGAAGTAGATACTTTTATCTTCACTTTACAGATTGAGAAACTGAGGCACAGAGAGGTAAGTGACCTGCTGAACATGAGGCTATTAATAAACCACAGGGTTGGGATTTGAACCTGGGCAGTTGGGCTTCAAGGGCCATGGCATTAACTCTAAGCTTGGCACCCTCATGCTCCTTATTTTATGTATGTTTAAGCTTTGATTTGTTTCTTCTTAGCCCAATATAAGAACAACGTTAGGAACCAAAGTCTATAAAACAGGTTTCTTTTTAAAAAGTTCTGCTTACATGTCTAATGACCAGCCTGAAATATGTGCACATGACGAATGTCTGCTTGTAAGAAAATTGGTATTAAAAAATTTCATTAATTTCCTACTTGGAGGATTAGGTAACTTCAAAGATACATCTAACCTTTATTTCTTTAATCTGTGAAAGATATATGTCAATTTTATAGCACTGAATGTCATACTTTTTCTAAGTTATTGTTTTTTCATGTACCTCACATTACTATTCACCTGAAAATAGGGGGCTATTATTATGTACTTGTGCTAATGCTGAACCTTTCATACCATTTCCATTGTAATTCTACCCTGGATAATAAAATAGTCAATATGCCCCTGCATCTTTTTCCCCCTTGCAGTGGAAGAGTTACTTCACTGAAACAGATAAACAGGATGGATAATGATTGTTATTTGCTCGGTGATCCTTGTAACGGAGAAAAGTAGAATGGTCTCTGATCAGTCTCAGAATTGGGACCTTACTGAATTTCATTTAGGAAATAGCAAGTTCTTATAATAGGTGACATTCTCTAAAGTTTATAAAGATTAGAAGATCTGACCTGAATTCTGGAAAAATATGTTAAATTAGATCCATACAGTAAGTTTCTTTACCTCACACAGAGCAAATAAGTCACATATGAATCATGTTCTGACTTAAATAAAGATGTCAAGAAAAATCTCCCCCAACAAAATGAATACTACATGGAATGTCTCACTTCCTTTTTATATATGTTTATGACAGTGTCAGGGAAGCTAGAAGTTATGTTCCTTCCTCTTCTATGAATTTGCTAGGGACTGAATCAATGTGGACAAATCAGTCAGTTACCTAAATGAAACGTATGGATCTTATATTGAGGGAATGACCCAGACCATTTTTGTGTGGTCCAATTCATTTAAATTACCATAAATATAAAAATTATAGTTTCTATAAAACATCAGTCCAGTAGACAAAAATACATTGCACATATTTTAGCACTTATAAAAATTAAAACCAATCCTTTCTTATAAGTGTTTGTCATCCACATATAGTATTTTGTTTATGACTAGATACTTCTCTATGATACAGAATTTTTCAGACAAGAGTACCCATTTTAATATGCTACGGGCCTACTGTTGGTCAGAATCATGATTTCTTGCCTTATTACAATTTAGTTAAATCCAATATATTTACTAAGTGCCTATGAAACACAAAAATGACAGCTATATTTTCTTCCTTTACTGTCTTCTTGCTTTGCAGATTTATAGTATGAAAGGAATAAAGGAGTGAAGGATGGCAGGAAAGGATTAATGTGTTTGCCACATAGTCCAGTGTGTGTAGAAACTCCATGTGACAAAGCGGGATCAATTATGTAAGACAACTGAAACTGAGAAAGTGAGAAATCTGGGAAGAGAACTATATTCTATCAGTCTATGCCAGAAAGAGGGCACAGATAATTTTATAGATGAGGAAATTTTAACAGGAGAATTAGTATCAAGATTGAATGAAGGCCAACTATTGAAAAAAGACAAAGGATAGCCATGAAATTTATAGGCCACAGAGGTGTTTTTTAGTCAAGTCTAGGAGAAGATAATATAGCATGAATTAAATAAGGCTTGACAAAACAAACTGGTGGGGCTACATCAAATTTAAAAAAAAGCATCTGCATAGTGAAAGAAACCATCAACAAAAACAAAAGGCAACCTACTGAATGGGAGAATATATTTGCAAATTGTATATCTGATAAGGGATTACTAACCAAAATACATAAAGAATTAATATATCTCAATACACACACATACACACACACACACACACACACACACACACATACACACACACACACACAAATTGATTTAAAAAATGGCCAGAGGACCTGAATAGACATTTTCTGAAGAAGACATGCAGATGACCAACAGGCATATGAAAAGATGTTGAACATAACTAATCATCAGAAAATGCAAATCAAAACCATAATGAGTTATCACCTGATACCATCAGAATGGCTGGTATCAAATATGTGCAATAACAATTATTGGCAAGGATGTTGAGAAAAGGGAGCCCTCACGTACTGTTGCTGGGAAGACAAACTGATAAAGTCAGTAAGCAACACAGTATGGGGGTTCCTCAAAAAATTAAAATAGAAGTATCATATGACTCAGTGATTTCATTTCTGAGTATTTACCTGAAGAAAACAAAATCACTAATTTGAAAAAATATATGCACTCCTATTATTATTGCAGCATTATTTATAATAGCCAAAATATGGAAATAATTTAAGATGAATGAATAGATACACAAATGGATAAAGAGGAAGTGCTACATATATACAATGGAATATTATGCAGCCATAAAAAAGAATGAAAATTGCCATTTGTGATAACATGGATGGACTTAGAGGGTATTGTGCTAAGTGAAATAAGCCAGAGAAAGACAAATACCATATGATTTTTTTATATGTGGAATCTAAAAAGAAAAAAAACAAAAAAGCAAATAAACCAATAAGTACATAAAACTCATAAACACAGAGAGCAAACTGGTGGTTGTCATAGGGAGAAGGGGGATGGGTGAAATAGATAAGGGGATAAAGAGACACAAACTTTTAATTATAAAGTAATTAAGTCATGGTGATGAGAGCATCATAGGGAATATAGTCAATAATACTTTAATAACTTTGTATGATGATAAATGGTAACTATACTTATCCTGGTGAGCATTTCATAAGGCACTTAATTGTCAAATCACTATGTTACACACCTGAAACTATTTTATATAAACTATATTTCAATGAAGTAAAATAAAATAAGCCTTGGACTGTGATCCATAAGACAGAAATGCCAATGCAGTGGAAGATTTGCTTACTTTCATTGAAAGAGGAAGAAAAAGTATATATAGGAAAGGGTTTATCACTAAAAATGTGCTAATGATAAAGGGAATATTATTTCCAGTAGAATGAAATTCCCATAGGTTATGACATATATCATAGTGGTGAAGAGTTGAGCAAGAGGTGTAAAAGGATAAGCTGATATCATACGAAAGGCTATGATAGCCCAGAAAAAAAGAAAAAAAAATGTAGTTCTTAAAAAATCAAGAACATTTGGCCAAGATTGAGTGGAGAAAATTAAATCATAAAACCAAGACAGAGATTATTATTGAACCAAAAATGTGGAATATATGGAGAGAGGTAGCACACATGTTCATGTGAACTCAATTCTTTTAAAATGGGAAACTTCAAGGAAATGGTTCATCCTTTCTTATGCGCTGTTCCCTTTCTTCTCAATGTGCTACACAGTGACTGGGGGCTGACATAAATGTGTCCTTGGTGTTCTCTAATTTGCAGATCACACTTAGCTAACAGATTCCAAATCTTAAGAAATTCTACAGCTTCCCCCAGTAGCTTATATTGATGCAACAGCAGTGACTAAAAATTGGGTGGCTTGATATAAAACCCTTAATTTCTAAGGTATCTCTATTTCCATGTGAACCAATAAAAAAGATAAAGAAAAAAATTCTAAGCTAATTAAAGGCTGAAGCCACTTTCATCATAAAATATACAACATAATATACACAAACTATTACTAACTCAACTTACAGAAGTTATTTTATGGTTCAAGCATTGTATAATCAAGGTAAAAATACTTTCTGGGTGGTTGATTCATAACAAGCACTTACCGTGTGGCTGACGACTGGGATGGTATATTTGAAGGTCAAATGGCTGTGCACTGGTTTTCTGAATCACACTGACATTCTGTCCTGTCCACTTATTGGCTTTTGACAGTGTGTTGGTCCTCCAGTCTGTCCAGTAGACCTCACTCCCATACAGAGACACAGCAAAGGGATGAGAAAGGTATTCATGACCTCGGATGATTTCTAACATGGCTGTTCCATCATAGAAGGCTGAATAAATAGCATCTGACCTACAGAAAGGTAAACATAACAGTAGTTTATCAAAACTCATTCAAATAGTCCAGGGTTGTGACCATATTACTTAGATAAATGACAGAGAAAATATTTTATGAAAAACTTTTTTATGAGTCTGTATCTGATTTATAGAAAAAAAATAACAAAAGCAAATATATATCACCATCAATTTTCAGAAAATCACCATTATCATAATGAAAACAAACAAAAACTACCATCAATTTCAACGTATGTATATATGATACATGCATGACAGGACATGTTTTATTTAGTAAATACTGTCTGAGGAGGAAACAGAAAATACAGGAAAAAAAATAATGTTTTATACCTGGCATCTGTCCAAACTATCCTTTTTTCAAAGTGGTCCACAGTTAATCCATTAGGCCAAGCCCCAGTTTTCATGTCTTTGTAGATAGTTTTTCTCCCAGCACCACTCATAGAGGCAGATTCAATGCGAGGAAAATTGGCATCCCAATCTGTCCAGAAAAGAATTCTAAAGAAAAAGAAATAAGGCTATTGTTTCAGTTGATCGTTTCACAAGTACTTATTATATTTATTGAGTGCCTACTATATGCCATGCACTAGCTAGGTAAGCAGTCTTAAGAGAAACATGTACATTTACCCTCGTGGGGCTTAGAGTCCAGTGGAAGAGACAGACTAAATAAACACATGAATATATAATTACAAGTTCTGAAATATGTTGAAGAAAAAATGTTTTGAGAATAGCAGATAGGTTATCTACTTAGAGAAGATGATCAGAGGAAAGAGCAATTTGAGGAGATGATATTTACACTGATTATGAAAGATGAGAAGAGTAGTATAAAGAGCATGACAAGTAAGCAGCGGATACCAAGGCCTTAACAGTAAAAAGAAACTGGGTGACTTGAAGAACAGAAATGAGTCCAATGTGTTAGAAATGTGGTGAGTGAGGAGGAAAGGGGCAGAAGATGCTGTTAAAGCGGGTGAGCTTATGGGTCTTGTAGGATAAGGTGATTCTTTGGGGATTTTTACCAAGAAGATAAGAAGCACATTTAAGCAGGGGAGAAACATGGTATCACTTATTACATGGATTATAGAGAGGCAAGAATATGGGTATACCAGGTTATTTCCCAGGGTCAGCCAAACATGATAGTGGCTTTGAGTATGGTGGAGGCAATGAGGAGATGTGAATGGATACAGCATATATTTTGGAGATAGAATTGCCAGGACTCTCTGTTGATGAGATATAGGAAATGAGGTCAAGAATAGAGTCATAGGTGACTGTCAGTTTCTTGTTTCAGCAAACTCAGATTAGGGAGTGGGTATAAAGGGAATCCATTAAGTGAAGTGGGAAAAATGGAAGAGGAACATATTTTAAGAGCTGGTATTGAGTGTAGATTGGGTGTGGATAGCAATTGAAAGTTCATTTTTGAGTGTTTTGATTTTGAGATTTCTAGACATCAAAAAGAAGATGTCCAAGAAGCTGTGTGGTATGCAGGGTGGAGTTCAGAGAATAAGGCAGGGTTGGAGACATGAAAATAGAAGTCATCAGCATGGAATAGATCATATGACAGAGGATGCAGAGGAAAAACAGAAGGAAATCATATACACTGATGTATTACAAACATAGAGTTGTTAAAATAGAACTTTTTATATGTTAAAGATCATTACTTATTTTTGGTTTGCTTTTTGTTGTTGTTTTGTTTTTACCAATTATGATTTGTGACTCCGTAAACTCAGAATGCACAAACAGCTCCAAACAACAGGCATTAAGTGTTTCGTGACATGCATTTGATTTCTAAGGCTACACAATTAGGTAATGGATGGCATGTGCTTAATTGACAGTGGCTTAAACTGCTGATGCAAGTTTCTATATTATAAACAACAGTTACACAACAATTTGCCAATTATTATAACTAGCTAATATTTTTTGAGTGCTTACTATATGCTAAGTATCATTTTCAGTGCTTTATATAGATTATCTCATTTATAATGAGGCAATGGCTAAAGTTATCCATATTTTAGAGATAAGAAAACAAGTTTAGAAAAGTTAAATTACTTGACTAGGTCTACCTAGCTCGCAAGTGGCAGAAGAAGATGGTAAACTGGATATCCTAACTTCTGTTCTCATGCTTTTAACATCTAATTCTTTACTGTCGTAACACTAAATAAAATAACTAAGCAAAAGCATCCTGTATGGAGAAGGAGCACGGTTGGGAGTGAACATGATAGTTGCCTTCTCTACTTTGGTTGTAGAACTCAATGGAGATTTGAGAAGGAGAACGCAAAGGACTGGAGAGGTCATGACAGTCCAGTAAATCATTTATGATAACATTTTGGTGAGAAAGGTTAAGTTATTGCTAAAAATATACTTGTTTTTCATTGTAATTATATATAGTTTTACTATTTTTTTATTCTTTTGAATGATTCTAAGCATGGCTGACTCTTTGAACAACATGGGTTTGAACTGCACCGGTTCTCTTACATGTGGATTTATATATATATATATACACACACACATATATATATAGGGCAATTTTTTGAGATTTGTAATGATTTGAAGAAAACATTTTATTTTATCTAGCTTACTTTAAGAATATAGTATAAGACATAGAACATACAAAATATGTGTTAATCAAAGGTTTATAAGTGAGGTTTCTAGTCAGCAATGGGTCATTAGTAGTTAAGTTTTTGGTGGTTCAAAAGTTATATGCAGATATATGGCTGTGGGGGGGTGGGGGTCAGTGTACCTAACACCCAAGTTGTTCAAGGGTCAACGGCATATAAATTTAGAACATTACCTTCACAAATGAAATTATCTTCTGGAACAAAATTAAAAATCCAATTCAACCTATCATCCTTTGAAAAGATAGTATGTATATATGATACATGCATGACAGGACATGTTTTATTTAGTAAATACTGTCTGAGGAGGAAACAGAAAATACAGGAAAAAAAATAATGTTTTATACCTGGCATCTGTCCAAACTATCCTTTTTTCAAAGTGGTCCACAGTTAATCCATTAGGCCAAGCCCCAGTTTTCATGTCTTTGTAGATAGTTTTTCTCCCAGCACCACTCATAGAGGCAGATTCAATGCGAGGAAAATTGGCATCCCAATCTGTCCAGAAAAGAATTCTAAAGAAAAAGAAATAAGGCTATTGTTTCAGTTGATCGTTTCACAAGTACTTATTATATTTATTGAGTGCCTACTATATGCCATGCACTAGCTAGGTAAGCAGTCTTAAGAGAAACATGTACATTTACCCTCGTGGGGCTTAGAGTCCAGTGGAAGAGACAGACTAAATAAACACATGAATATATAATTACAAGTTCTGAAATATGTTGAAGAAAAAATGTTTTGAGAATAGCAGATAGGTTATCTACTTAGAGAAGATGATCAGAGGAAAGAGCAATTTGAGGAGATGATATTTACACTGATTATGAAAGATGAGAAGAGTAGTATAAAGAGCATGACAAGTAAGCAGCGGATACCAAGGCCTTAACAGTAAAAAGAAACTGGGTGACTTGAAGAACAGAAATGAGTCCAATGTGTTAGAAATGTGGTGAGTGAGGAGGAAAGGGGCAGAAGATGCTGTTAAAGCGGGTGAGCTTATGGGTCTTGTAGGATAAGGTGATTCTTTGGGGATTTTTACCAAGAAGATAAGAAGCACATTTAAGCAGGGGAGAAACATGGTATCACTTATTACATGGATTATAGAGAGGCAAGAATATGGGTATACCAGGTTATTTCCCAGGGTCAGCCAAACATGATAGTGGCTTTGAGTATGGTGGAGGCAATGAGGAGATGTGAATGGATACAGCATATATTTTGGAGATAGAATTGCCAGGACTCTCTGTTGATGAGATATAGGAAATGAGGTCAAGAATAGAGTCATAGGTGACTGTCAGTTTCTTGTTTCAGCAAACTCAGATTAGGGAGTGGGTATAAAGGGAATCCATTAAGTGAAGTGGGAAAAATGGAAGAGGAACATATTTTAAGAGCTGGTATTGAGTGTAGATTGGGTGTGGATAGCAATTGAAAGTTCATTTTTGAGTGTTTTGATTTTGAGATTTCTAGACATCAAAAAGAAGATGTCCAAGAAGCTGTGTGGTATGCAGGGTGGAGTTCAGAGAATAAGGCAGGGTTGGAGACATGAAAATAGAAGTCATCAGCATGGAATAGATCATATGACAGAGGATGCAGAGGAAAAACAGAAGGAAATCATATACACTGATGTATTACAAACATAGAGTTGTTAAAATAGAACTTTTTATATGTTAAAGATCATTACTTATTTTTGGTTTGCTTTTTGTTGTTGTTTTGTTTTTACCAATTATGATTTGTGACTCCGTAAACTCAGAATGCACAAACAGCTCCAAACAACAAGCATTAAGTGTTTCGTGACATGCATTTGATTTCTAAGGCTACACAATTAGGTAATGGATGGCATGTGCTTAATTGACAGTGGCTTAAACTGCTGATGCAAGTTTCTATATTATAAATAACAGTTACACAACAATTTGCCAATTATTATAACTAGCTAATATTTTTTGAGTGCTTACTATATGCTAAGTATCATTTTCAGTGCTTTATATAGATTATCTCATTTATAATGAGGCAATGGCTAAAGTTATCCATATTTTAGAGATAAGAAAACAAGTTTAGAAAAGTTAAATTACTTGACTAGGTCTACCTAGCTCGCAAGTGGCAGAAGAAGATGGTAAACTGGATATCCTAACTTCTGTTCTCATGCTTTTAACATCTAATTCTTTACTGTCGTAACACTAAATAAAATAACTAAGCAAAAGCATCCTGTATGGAGAAGGAGCACGGTTGGGAGTGAACATGATAGTTGCCTTCTCTACTTTGGTTGTAGAACTCAATGGAGATTTGAGAAGGAGAACGCAAAGGACTGGAGAGGTCATGACAGTCCAGTAAATCATTTATGATAACATTTTGGTGAGAAAGGTTAAGTTATTGCTAAAAATATATTTGTTTTTCATTGTAATTATATATAGTTTTACTATTTTTTTATTCTTTTGAATGATTCTAAGCATGGCCGACTCTTGAACAACATGGGTTTGAACTGCACCGGTTCTCTTACATGTGGATTTATATATATATATATACACACACACACATATATATAGGGCAATTTTTTGAGATTTGTAATGATTTGAAGAAAACATTTTATTTTATCTAGCTTACTTTAAGAATATAGTATAAGACATAGAACATACAAAATATGTGTTAATCAAAGGTTTATAAGTGAGGTTTCTAGTCAGCAATGGGTCATTAGTAGTTAAGTTTTTGGTGGTTCAAAAGTTATATGCAGATATATGGCTGTGGGGGTGGTGGGGGTCAGTGTACCTAACACCCAAGTTGTTCAAGGGTCAACGGCATATAAATTTAGAACATTACCTTCACAAATGAAATTATCTTCTGGAACAAAATTAAAAATCCAATTCAACCTATCATCCTTTGAAAAGATCTTTTACATCTATTTAAGGAAATGTGGAGTGATGTAAACTAAGTATCATGACTTTGATTTTTGAGAAGTATATAGTATAGGACATACAAATTACAAATATGAAATGATTACAATATAATTCAAAGCATTCTATAATAAACTTAGTAAGTATATGTGCTGAAGCACTATGGTGGACCTGGAAAGAATATATTTACCTTATCAATAAGAATGGAAGTTCATGTATAACTTAACCACTGGACATTCAAAACATGTTAAACAGGGTGTCAATGCTGAATAGTGAAAATGTGTATGTCTTTGTGTCAGACAAACTTAGGTTCATATCTGTCATTTACTCCAGCATACTTAACCTCAGACTCCATTTTCTCATCTGTAAATGAAAAACTGTAACTGTACACACTTGTCAGGAGCATCTGATGATGCAATGGATGCAAACAATTTAGCACCCATGATGGACAGCACACAGAAAAGATTTGTGTTTGAATGAGTATCTATACACACATTCAGATAATATTTTTTAAAGGCAAAATTTCAAAGTCTTCACAGACTGTTAAAGAAATGGAGACGGAGACAGAGAAAGAACAAGAATTAATACTTACGTAAATGTTTAAATGTTGACATGTTTTAAGAACATGTACGTGAAGGCAGATTAGTTTTATAAAGTAAGCATGAGCCAAAGCCGTGAGAAAAGGTTTCTGAGGGGTAGGTCACAGCATTGGGTTTATCTCATAGAACATCTCTCAAAAAATGAGTTTATATTAAAAGAAAAGTTTTAATTTTATGGGCAGCTTTAGAAGTCGTCACAGCCCTGGTGTGGGCACATATCCACAAAGACAGTATCCAAATTATTTAATCACCAGATATTTGAGGAAGTTAAATAAACTGTTGGGGAAGGATAAAAATGAACATTAACATAGTAGAAGGCAATGTACTGATGATTGTTGAAGCTGGGTGAATGGTCTAAGGGAGTTTATCATACAATTCCTTCTATTTTGTATACTTGAAAATTTCCATAATAAAAGTTTAAAAGTATATATAAATAAATCAAAATTAAATAAAGAGATAAAATGTTTAAAATATACCAGGGCTGTTTATAAAACCTTATTGTTGGGAATATTTTCCTGAAAAGACTAATGTTTAAAGATAAAATTATTCATTTTCTATGAATTACATGGAAATATCAACACAAAATAATTTATAAGTAATATATATATAACTACATATGGTATAATACATATAGTACATTTTATATAATATGTTGCCAGTTAAATGGAAAATGGAACAAAGGCTATTAATATAAAGTTGGTAGGCTAGTCAAATAGTTGAATGTTTTTTTTTTTAAACAATGAATATGAAGTGAATTATGTGTCTGGCTTTGAATGCATACAGCTTTTCAATGACAGTACGTTGTTATTTAACAGTTTTTCTTTAAACCAGCATTTTAAAAAATAAGATTTAAAATGGAAACAAGACCAGTATAAATAACATTAGTCAAATTTATGGTAATATTTTGACAAACAAGGTAAACTGGAGAGATTTGCAGATTTGAAAAAAAAAATTAGGAGAAATAATCCCTGAAAACATCTAGTTAATTTTAGAGTCACAGAGAGTCTGAGGATCTGTGGATGAACCACGAGCAGATCTAGACGAAGCTGTACTTCACAGCCTGGACTGATGACCCACGGATGTCTGAAGGCATCTCTAGTGCAAATGGAGAAGTGGAGTCTCCCTTGGTGCTTTTTACCTGGTTCTGCCTTATGCCGTTGTGGCAATTCTAACATACCAGTAGCCCTGCAATTCTGTATTCTCTCTATATTTGTAGATTTACCAGAAATAGGCACAGAAGATTCCCAAAAAAGAATGGTTTGGGATGATTTAAGGGGTTATAAAATAAGTGATTTCTTCAATCCTTAAACACAGCAGCATTAAGCTGTTTCTTTTGTAGTGGCCACTATGGTCCTACTTTTCAACAATTCAGGTGGGGCATTTCTTTTCATTTAATAGCTTTTTCTAGAATTAGTTTCCCTTAAAGTATCCTTAACCTTGCCTTAAGTCACTTTATCATCAGTTTTAAAAGGTGTATTCAAGGATCATTGTTTCATAAAATTTTAGGTACTCTTTTCTGTACTTTACAATGTCGTATTTAAAAAAAATTAATTTCCTCCTTATTACTTCCTTTTTATGGTTAAAATATATAAGCATTTCAATGATTGCATTATTTCTTCAAGTATACCAAGACTGACTAACCCTTCTTATAGGACGTAAGGAAATGTTCAGCCACAATTTCAGGAGGCTACCAGTCTAATGCTTCTACAGTTCCTTCCTGCTTTCACGGTTAGTCTGTATCAGGATTAAACTGGGTCAATGGACCATGAACAACTTGTACCATTACAGGCACGAAAGGTCCATTAACGTCTATTAGGTCAAGCTGCAGAAGGTGAAAATAAATTATCTTAGTAAAAAAAGAAGTTACTTATCTGTAATCTTTAGGCCTTCTGAAATAACATTTTCATTAATTTTGTTTAGGAATAAACAATAAACTCCCAGATAAAATTAAAAGTGTATTTAGATGCCTCACTAATCTTCACAATTACTAGGTCTGTTTTCACCAATCAGAATTGTTATAGCAGAGTGCGTTATTATGAAAAATGGAAGCTTAATACAACGATGCGGCCAGGAGATGCCACGCAGTTGCACAAGCATAAAGACAATGAAAGTTCGAGCACTGAAGTGAGTGCCTGTGGATTCTGAACTCCCAAGTGCTTGTTACTCCCTAAAAATAAGCTTGATGTTTAGAGGAGATTCCTGTGCTCTTTCGGGCCACTTCAGCATGAAGTTTATTCCTTTCAAAAGGAATGAAAGAAAAATGGCTTCTCCATAAGATTCCCTAGAATAACTTGCTACTTGGGATACTGGGTTGAAACCCAGATTACTGAAGGGATGTGGCATGATGGACAATCTGTTTTATAACATAAGATGAATGCCTGTGAATTCTATTTATGCTGAAGGATGTGAAGTAGCTAATTAAAGATGTTTATTTTTTGGCATCTGTAAAAAAGGTCACAAAGCCCTTGATTACTATAGAAGCCTCCCAGGATATAAAGCATGTTTTGGGGGACTAATGGTACAACCTAATTTTTTTCTCAGCTCTGTTGAGGGAGCATAAGTGTGCTGGCTGCAAACTTTTGTTTGTTTGTTATTATAAACAAAGTTTATAGTATTACTCATTAGCTGTCTTACTGTATAGTTCGCTCTTTGAGGTAGGTATATCCTTGACTTCCTGTAAGTTGCATGTGAGCAAAAGTCTGTTAATATGCATGCATTAATGTATTTAACAAGGATTTATTGAGCATGATTATATATACCAACAGCTGTGAAGAATTTCATAGACTTGGAAGCAATTTTGCTTGCCATCAGAAAGCTTATGACTTAGTAGGAATGATAACGGTATTTACAGAAACCATATTTTCTGGAAAAAAATATCTATCTCATGGGATTATCCTAAAAGAAAAATCAAAGGATATTTAAATATCTTTGGAGCTTCTGTCAATTTTGAGTCACAGCTTCCATATGTATTTCATGAATAATTTGAAAAATAGGAGAAAATTTTATGTTTCTATTTGAATTTGTGAATAATAGTAAACAGCAAGTTTATATCAAATGAAATTATTTTTTAATGTTGCTTTTCTTGTGCTTAGCTTAGCATTGCTACATGTGTGTGTTTATTACCCTCTCACCTTACCTTAACAAAAGGTCTAATATTTAAAACTATCAATGCCCTTTATAACAAAATATCCAATAAACCTAAAAACATTTTTATATTTGGACTACACTTTTAAATTTAATTGCTACAACTGAGCTTTAAAGGTTTTTACTTTGAACCCCCTACCTTAATCACATCAATCCTCTCTCAAATAATTTTTAACAATAAAAACCCTATCATATTGTGACACCCAAGCCTTACAGCCTTTCTAATTCATTCCTAGAGTTGAATGAATGACTAGTGTCATCTGAATTTTGGTCATTTATGCATGAAATAATTTTACAAGTATTGTAAGTATTGTCTCTTTAACCATTAAAAAAATGTTTGAATTAGCTTCACAATTCCATAATAGCAATCAGTAATGGAGAGCATCAACTTTCTCAGAAGTATTACAGGTTTTCCCTGTTCAGAGGCTAGTTTTCTGTACTAACTTTCAACTCTCAGAGAAGAGATTTTACCACTGAAGATCCCTTTAGATCACCAAAATAATGTTTGATATTTGCACATAAGTAGTTGTGGGTTGTGTGTCCTTTGTGTTTCTGTTTTCTTTCTCTGCTCTCAGGTCAGATATTCCCCAAACTGAGGTAAATAAATATATCCTACATGTTGTCAGTTCAGAGCTATAGAAAAAGAAGCTTCAACTCCTAGATCTACTGCTTTGTTTGGACAGACTATTTTCAAAATTTCGTATACTTGTTTCATTTGTTTTGTTTTCTCTCTACATGCCTTCCTTACTTTAGAAAGCATTCAGTTTCCCAATCATGTTAGCACGCAGGCTAAAACTGCAACTTTTTCCAAAATACCACTTTCCCTTATACAGAAAGTTTCTCATGCAGATAAGCTGCTTGTACAACTGAGAGCTGATAGGTGCCCATTTCACAGCAGTAATTGTTTCACTAAGGGTAAAACCTCGGCAGATGATGGCTCTGTGGGGAGTAAGGATCAGCAATCTACGTGCACCCTCAGAAATAAACTGTAACAAAGGAAACTTCTCACTAAACATAGGTCTTTTCCTGATGAATTGTTATTTCAAGAGGTAATGAGTAAAACGGACAAAAGCGTGAACTATGTAAACTAGAAAACACACCTCCAGGCTAAATGGCACAGCTACTGCGCTTCTCATTGTTGCCAAATCTCCCTATTTTTTTTCAAAAGAAGTCAGAAATCCAGGGTGGTATGCAAAATCTCTCAATATTTAAAACTGTGGCTATTAATACAAATAAATTTAAAATGCTGTGTAAGGTAAAGCAACACATCAAGGAATGTTGCCAGTTTGGAACTCCGCTAGACAAGCTGCTTTGCCCCTCTAATTTCTGGGTATGAGTTGAGAAGAAAGAGAACAAACAAACTTTCCCATCTATTGATTTCTGAGTCCTGGGCATAAACCAGAGCACAAGCCAGAGAGTGCGGCCAGGAAGCTGACTTACACACAAGGCTCTGTTACCCTCTACTGAATCTCATTAGAGCTCCCTCCTGGTTGACTCCCTTCTCTCATTGATGTTCCCTGGATTTTGTATTGATTAAAGGTACAGAGCAAAAAAAAAAAAAAAATCCTTTCTATTATCATTTAGACTTGGTAATGGTTTTGAATTTACAAAGTATTAACAAGGAAATAAATGATTAGGAATAATAACAAGATATGCTCACATATATCAGTTAAATAATATCTTCCACATATTTACTATCTCCTCACAAACAATCTAAAGATAAAGATACTATATCATGCCTGATTTATAAAAGAGAAAACTGAAATCTGAGGGAAGATAATACACCTGAGTATGTTCTCCAGAGAATCAGTAACTGAGCAGGAACTGGAATCTTTGTTTTCTGACTGCATATACAGTGTCTATTTCTTGCTCTTTCACGAAGGCACAGGGGAACAGCAACATCCTGACCTCAGCATTTGACCTTGTTTCCAGAATCATGCACCTTGTCTTTCAAATGCCCCAAGATTCAGTGTCTCACCACTAGACACCTTCAAGCTAATCCTAATTTTCTTTTAAACCGATTTCCAGTTACATACAAGGTACATAAAGGGTAATGTGATTAACATCGGTAACTGGACCAGAGACTGCCCTTGTGCTCTGCAACCGTTAGAAACAACTGCAGCATTTCTTTTGCAGGTCAGAGAGAAATTAATTAAACTACTGCTTCAAAATAGAGTTGCAATAGCTTCCAAGGCCCATATTTACAAAAAAAAGAGATTTCTATCCTTTAAAAGTAATTATGTAAGCAATCGATAACTAAACTTGTGTTAATAAACTTAAACTAATAATATACACACACAGAATTATATATATCTACACACATACACCCATATAAAAACAGAATTACATATACACACACACATATATATATATACATGCACAAAAGAAGTATTTTGATTTATAATTTATGAAATGATTGAATTAAATATTAATTTGAAAGATTATTTGCTATGCCAAAGAGAATCTGTGGAAGGCAAACTTCTTTACCCATATCTTGGGTCCAAAGCAATGGCCCTGGGGTGTTCCATGGCTCCTGCTATTAGTGTGGTTCTTAATGAACCATCCAGTTTGGCCACTTCAATTTGGTCCAGATTGCTGTCTATCCAGTATATGTTGCCTGCTATCCAGTCAACTGTCAGTCCTTCTGGGGTAGCCAGGCCATGCTCCACAACCACTTCTACTGCACTGACACCTACAAAAAAAGGGAAACCAACACTATACCCATTCAAAGAACATGTTAAGCACAAAGGTAAAGGCCTATTTACCAGGAACACAGTGGACTAAACATTACATTAACTTGGAGACACATAGTGCAAAAGTGTTGCCTGGCTCAGAGGAAACTAAGACGGCCCTGATATCAGCAGTATTACTAGTCTTTCCCACCAGAACATTTAATCTCTGTAGTCCATTCAGTGACAGTGGGACAGAATTTTTAAACAACAATGAAGCTAATAACAATGCTTAGGTTGTAAAAAAGTTACTTCTTGCTCCTGACTTTTTTAAGAGAACAAGGGATTTGGGGAATGACAATGATGCTGGTTAAAATCAGTGCAATTTAATTCAAACATTGATCTTCAGAGATGGAATAAAGAGAAAAGGTTTACCTGGGGCAGCATGCATCATAGCAAATCAGCACCCACTCTTTTTTGAAACATGCAAAATAAGATAGCTTTTACTGCATCTAAGATAAGCCCCAAATCACACTCCACCCGCTGCCCAAAGCTATAAGAGTTGCAGGATGTCTCTTTTATGTAATAATTTGTAAATAATCGAAGAAGGAATCAGTGAATCTAAAAAGAAATAAGCAATTTGGTAATGTCCACCAATATTCTCATTTATTCACTCCTTAATTTCTTTGGAATTAAAAAGAATAAAAATAATTCTTTCTAATAGGATAGCTCTTCATAGTTTATGATATTGGCCATGTTTTTGTTGGGTATTTTAACAGTGTCTAATAGGTTTTTTAAAAAGCCATCTAAACCCCTGGACTTAATTTCATCATTTGAAACCAATATCTTACAGTATGACACAGGACACAAATTTACACATCATAATTATATTGTATGTTTTTCAAAATTTTTCAAAGATTACAAAGGCAATTTTCAAAAATTGCAAAGGCAATTTAAGGAAGAATCTAGATTTAAGAAAAACACTTGGCCTTTAGAATGCTATATAGACCCAACATTTTCAAGATAATTATTATATACATTTATCTCAAAGCTTTGCTTCTTAAGAAAGGCCTCAATTAGACAAAAGAGGTAAGTCAAATTATGGCAGAAATATTTAGCTCATAGGAATAGTCTTTGTAACAATTCATTGTTTTTTTGAATTATGTTGAAAGATGGTAACAAAATTTTTTTAAAGTTATTTTAACTTACAAAAATATGACTGCTAGTATGTAGAAGGCAATTGTTTTTGTCTTGTAAATAAAGTTCTTCACCAAATGTCCGTGGAAAAGTCCACAACTTGAAAATGGTGTGAATGGCACAGGCCTTCAGCATTCCCCGTGCATAGCATATCCTCACACATACACCTGACAACCCAAGTTTTACATATTTGAGGGAGAAGACAAAGAAACAAAGGCTAGAAATTAATTAAATATTCCTTCTGATTGCAGAATACTTTTTTCTGAAATTTTCAGTTGAAAATTAATCTAAAGATTAAGTCAAAATTGTCATATATGTACCTCCACTTTCAGAAAGCTTGCCCCGGTATATTCTGTCTTCTACAACATCTGTCCAATAAAGTAAACTTTGATTGAAGTGAAAATCAAGTGCTATTGTGTTTCTCAATCCAGGAACAAGTAGACTATAATCTCTTCTGTGAAGATCAATCCTTCTGATCTCATGGCGAATAGAAAAGATGATGAATGCTTCAAAAGGATCTGAAAATAAATTTATTTTTAATAGGCTTATGAAAATATTGATCCGCTTTCATAAGTGGAATAAAATGCTCAAGGTCAAATGCATTTATTTAAAAGTAGAATTTATTATCTAATTCTGTATCATTGAAGGAGGGATTTCTCTTACTCCAAAACTTAAAAGAAACTTGAGAAACTTAGGTTCATGTCCATTCATGAAAATGAGGTATAAAAGTTTTTTTATTCCTTGGATTTTTATATAACTGATTTGATTAAATAATACAACGATTGTTGCATATCTAAGCCAAAATGGGAGATTTTCTGTTTTAGTGGAGTTTCACTTGACAATCCAAACCTCAAAGACAAAGGGATTGCTAAGAGTTGGCTGAAGATTGTTCTGCCACTCTAAGTCCATTACATACCTATAGACACATGATCTGTAAGGAAGAGACCAACAAAAGAGGATTCTCTGAAGAGAGTAGTTGGATTTATAGTTAGGGAGCCCCTGACAACAGGGCAGATGGTGGCTTTCTCAACAGTTCAAGATAACCATGCCTATACTGTTCCCCAGCTCGATTTCAATCCTGGACAAGGTCTGAGTGGGAAGAATGGAGAGATGTTTTGAAAACAGATATGAGATTAAAGTTTTATATTTATATGTGCCTAAAAGAATATTTCAATATCTGAAAGTTACTAATATTATACTATCACTTTGAAAATGTGTTAAGTCTTGTCCTGTACCAATTACTGTTGGACATACTAACATGAGCTAGACATGAATCTGTTTGATGAATATGTGTTTTGAGGGAGGGATCCAGGGCCATAAAGATTTCCTGTTTCCAGGTTGGTTCCTTTGAGCTTTCTTTTATAGAAATTGGTTTTCTTATTCCAAGTCTACACATGTCCTCTGAACGGGAGTTGCTATAATCATGCATATACAGAGGGACGAGAGATGGGTGTGATATCTGAGTCAGACTCTGTGGTTCATAAACTTCCAGAGAAGTTTACAAGCTGAGGAGAGTCTCTTTCCTTCTAAGGTCACAAATCTCTCAGTCTAGTGTTGCTGGTGTTCATATCTTTGTAATTTGCATAAGCCTATTTGTGTTATTGTAGTAGAAGTGAAAAAACATCACAAAGAATGAAGCAGCAATGACCTGTGGTGAGACTATGCATTAAGGACAATCAAATCCATAGTTCTAATTATCCCTAAAACTAGTTACTTCCTTCAAATCCCCCAGACATTCCCCATGCTTTGAGTATGTAAGCCAATGCACTTAATTCTATTCACCTTAATTTGAACTAGGTTTTTGTCAACTGCTACCAGGTTTACTGTTCTTATTAATGTTTCCTTAAAGAGGTCTTTCCTGATCAGTTATGTAATAAAGACCCATCTCCATTATTCTGTATCAACATAGCCTATTTATTATTTATCTTCCTCAGTGAATTATAAGCTCTACTAAAATAGAAATCTCTGTCTTGGTCATTATGATGTCCCTAACATGGACATAGAGAAGACATAGTACATACCAGGTCTTAGATTCAGAAGAGTGCTAACCTAGGCTAGCTGTTCTTGGCATGAGGGAGTGACCTGCCACTCTTTTTTCCCACTGGATGTAAATCTACTTTAAGAAGCTCTGCCCAGTACATTAAATAAATGTATTTTGAATGAGTAAATGTTTCTAAAAACCAAATCCATATTAGGAAACTAGCTGGTAGCGCATGAGAGAGAGTCCTCCCATGAAAGGTAAAAAAACATACTTGACCTGCAGCTAACTGCACAGTATAAAACAAGCCAAGCCAAGACCATAAGAACTGCTCAGAAGGCCTGACAACTTGTGAGCAAAGTTGTGATCATGTAGGTATTGTAGTTATTCATTGTATAGCACTGTGGTGTTTATTGTACATTACTATGACAGTAGCTAACTGATGCAAGATATCAAGTATGTGAAAAATAACTAGTTCTAAGTAGCCCCAATAGAATAAATACTCATACAATTTTAAACCCAGAATTCAGCATTTTTAAAGTAAAGAAAATGTTTGTGTTGAATGTATATTTATTTAAAAGAAGAATACCTAATTTGGGATTAGAACTCCTGTTTCATTCTCTGCTCTGGCTATGAAACAACTGTTTGCTCTTTTAAGACTCTTTATCTTTTCAGGAATTAAATGTCCTTACCTGTAAAATGAGGAAAACAATAACCTTTTTCAATTTAACTTTAACTGTTGTTACTAGAACCCAATTAAATAGTGTATGCAAATTTATATTACAAGCTGAAAATCATTAGAGATGTGAAGCTAACTGTGAAGTAGTAAAAAGATAATAGACATGGAGTCAGAAACCATGGATTTAAGATGGAGCTCTATCAACAAGTGTGTCAATTTAAGAATTTAACTTAAACTCTCTGATCCTCACTAATTTTTTTATTTATAAAAATATATAACATACTGAGTTATCAGGATAATTGATAATCAAAGTGTGAATACTTAACAGTACCTTAATAAGTGGTTAATTATTACTATGAATATGACATTCCAAAGACTAGCCAAAGGAATAGCAAAATAGTGCATAAGAGAAAAGGCTGCAATGATGATACACCAAAAGGAAGTGAGATATTTCTCAGCATGTGCTGAAACTAGTGACAGTTCAGTTTGCTCTTAGTCAAGCAGTAAATTAATGGTGCAGCAGTTATTTGCTAGAGAAATGTCTGCTTAATACCTGTTAAAGGCATAGTTTTAAAATCACAATATAATGATGCACTACCTCTTCTTTAGGAAATCAATGTAAGTTCCTCCTGAACTAACACTGGAAGACATCTGTTGCCAAAACAACACAGTTAGAGGAAGGGCTGATGGATGCATTCAAAGTGCAGAAAGTTTGCTAGAGACGATGCCTGCAGCTGTAGATATGAAAATATGCTAGCAGAGCACAATTCTCAAAGGAGGCAGTACAACAAAGGGTCAAACCCCATAATCACTTTGTGCAAAAAATGGGGTGGGAGTAACAGCCTGGTCTCAGGAACTTCTCTGAGCCAACTGCCACTTTAAACACCCAGGGGGAGGGTATGAAATGAAGCGAACACACATTCAGTATGTTAACTGAAAGAAACCAGGCTCAAAAGTCTACAAACCGTATGATTCCATTTCTGTGACATTCTGGAAAAGGCAAAACAATGGAGACAGAAAACAGAACAGTGGATACCAGTAGGAAACATCTGGGGGAGGACTTGATTATAGATTTTTAGACAAAAATCACTAGCCTTTCTAAAAACAAGAGCCACTGAGAATACAAAATGGGAAAAGAACAAATGCATATTAACCACAACAATGAAAAAAAGATAAGGAATCTAGGAATAAAATTGTTAGGAAATATACAAAGATTGCATGAAGAAATTTTAAAACACTAATGAGAGGAATAAACATTTCAACAAATGGAAAGGTATATACTATTATTAGATTGAATAAATAAATAAATAATGTCCCACAGATCTTTTTTCTGCCTAAATTAATTCATAAATTTCCTGTAATGAAAATAATTATAAATACCATTCTTAAGATAATACTGGATAATTTTAAAAGTTATGTTAAAAAAGTGTGACTCACCAGGAAAATTCCAAAGGAAATATATAATAGTGATTAACTCCAAGAGACAGGAAACTGTATTATTATATTAATAAAAAAAGTACTCTGGTACAGACTCATAGCTGACTATAGGGCTTACAAACATGATAGTTTTAGGCACCTGGAGAAGAAATTAAGTTGAAAATTTCCTAGCTTAAAACAAGAAATAATTTCCAGATAGCTGAATACTTTTGGTGTAATAAATGGAAATGTGATAGTCTTAGAATTTAGCAGAGAATAATTATTTTTACAATGATAGAAAAAAGGCTTTCCTGAGTTTGATACAAGTCATAGGAGACCTAAAGGAAATAATGATATTTAATATACATTTTAAAAATTGTAGTAGAAAAATAATGTAAAAAGTAATGTAAAAAGACAAAGGACAAACTGGGTAAATATTTGAAATACAATACAAGACTAAATTCTTTAATATATATGAGCTACTATAAATTGACAAGAAAAAAGCATTAAAATATATAATGGGCCTACATTGGGCAATATCTATGAAAAGTTTTAAAAAATAGTTATTTATATGT